AGATGCAGACAGGCTGGGAAGGGTTGAGATGATCTGAGGACTGGAAATGAAGCCCCAGAGGAGGGATTGGAAGAGCTGGGCCTGTTTAGCCTCAAGCAGAAAAGACTGAGGGGAGATATGATGGCAGATATTTGAGATGATAGTAAAATAGGAGGGCTGAAATCTCTTTTTATATCATTCTGGATTTCAGGACATGGAATACTGGGCTCTGGTTAAGGGAATGCAGAATGCAGCTAGATATCAGGAATATTTTGGTGACTGTTAGAGCAGTACGACAGTGCAGCCAATGACCCCGGGAGGTGGGGGGCTCTCTCACCCTGGAGGCAGCCCAGATGCATTTGAAGCCCCCTGAGGGGAATGCTTTAAGTGGAGACCTCCACTGAGCAGGTGGCTGGACATGAGGGCCCTCTTGCCCTTTCCAGCTGTACTATGCTATGATTCTATCGTCTTTGAATTTCCTCCTAATTTTGGAATTCGGAGGGGTCATCGCGTAAGGTTGATTGCTGGGAGCTGTATGGCAGAAGAAACAAAGCATCATCTGCCACCAATTCCGGACCGCCCCCCTTTCTGGCCTGGGTTCCCTGTGTGCACCAGAAGCCCCATTGCAGCTTCCCCTGTTGCCAGCCTGAGGAGTAGGGGCCGCAGCTCCCCAGGAATCGCTGCTGGGCTACAGGCTCCCCTGCGGTTCAGCCACGCAGGGAAGCCTGGCCAGGCGGATTTGTGGAACACTCTCAGGTTCTGCCATTGTGGAATGGAAGGGACCCCTTTACTTCTTGCACTCATGGATGGGCTCTTGCCAAAATGCTGTGATACTCCAGTTTCACTCGTGTTTTGTTTGGTTTTCAGAACACTCTCCCGGGTTTTCGGTTTGCTTGTTTCTTAGATTGGAAAAAATACAGTTGTATTTTAGAGAAAGAGGCCTGGCACAGATATTCCTCCAGTACTTGCACTGTTTCCCAAGGGCATTGCGCCAACTGCAGGTTCTGTGTGGGAAGCATTGAAAGGGGAAGGTATTTCTGCAGA